CTAGTTGCATTTTTGCAAATGGACACTGTTAAATGATATTTTTGCAAATGTACAAAAAAAAATGACATTTTTGCAATTGCCAACAAAAAAAATTGATTAATTTTGTTTTGAAACGGGGATATTAATATATATATATACAGACACACACATTTAAGTTATTCAATTGTCGACTTAAATAAATTCTATAGATTTTATAATATTTAAAAAATTTAAATTGAAATGAATGTATATTCTCTCAGACCGAGAGTCGGACCAAATTGAACCAAGAACCGGATGCATAACCGAATTGGTTTGTCAATTTTGTTGTCTTGGAGTCCACGGGGGTAAAAACGTAATTTTAAAAAGAAAACACCAGATAAAGAAACGGAAATTGGGGATTCGTTTCGCAGAGAAGTCAAAACTCAAGAAACTCGATTCTTTACGATCTGCTTCAATGAATGAACGCAATGATTCGGCTAGTCTTGGAGAAACTAGAAGATCCGGTGGATCTTTCTACGGCGTCGTTGGTTTCCACGGCTTGGTATGACGCAGACAGCAATACCAGGGAACGCATCACCGTTCCACTGAGCTACGCAGCGAGTCCAGGCAAATTGAGTCAAAGGTTCCCAAATGTGAAGTATCTACGAGTTAAGGTAAGACCCAGTGAGGAGATGTTTGAACTTGTATCTGCGTTTTGGGGAGGATCCGCAAGCCCGTGGATCAACGAAATTGCTATTTCTGGGTTTGGAGTTGTGAAATCAAAAGAATTATCATCTGCGATCTAGACCTAGATGTTTTAGCTAGGGCTCTAGGAATCAGACTCGAAGCCCTAGAACTCAACTGGTGCCGTGGTTTTACCACAGATGGACTCATGTCGATAACAAAAAGATGCAGGTACGTTTGAATTGTATTTTCATGAGGTTGCTTCTTCAATTGGTCTGGAATTGTAGAAGACAACAGTATAAAAATTTCTCATTTAACACTTTTTTCCAGGAATGTAGAATCTCTTGTAATAGGGAACTGTTTATTGGAAGAAAGAAACGGTGAATGGCTTCATGAAATTGCGTTGCACAACTCTTCCCTCAAAGTATTGCATTGTCATGAGTCAGATATTTCAATGATAAGCCTGCAAGACTTGGAAACTATTGTAGAAAGATGTCTGTCTTTGATTTCACTTAAAATTAGTGATTTTGATCTTGCGCAATTAGAAGCTACCCTTAGAGCAGCTACTCGGCTAGAAGAATTCTATGGTGGGTGTATCATTGTGGATCCAGATAATGAAGAAGACAATGACAAGTACATGGCTTTAGATGAATCTATTCCACCAAATTTGTGTCGGGTTGGTGACTTAATCGATCTTCATGTTGATGAGATTTCGATCTTGTTTGGTTTTGCCAACAGAATCCAGAAACTGGATTTGTTTCGGACGGATCTACTCGTTGATGCACACTGCATATTGCTGGAGAAACTTCCCAACTTGGAAGTTCTGAAGACGAGCAATAATATTGGAGACAGAGGACTGATTGCGCTTTCTCAGTTCTGTAAGAAGCTAAAGGAATTGGAAATTTCTCTAGTTGGAGATGAAGAAGAGAATGAACGATGGGATTGTACGGTCCCAGACAGAGGAATGAGATCTGTTGCAGAGAATTGCAAGGGGCTAGAATCTATTGTCGTGTGCATGATAAAGGTGAGTGATTCATCTCTTCTCGCTATTGCAGAACTGAAAGAGTTGCGCAGGTTCGAGCTGGTGTTGATCCCTACGAACGTCATGAGAATTGAGTCACTCGACAATGGAGTTGGATCACTTTTGAGCTCATGTGGGAAAATCAGAAAGATTACTTTGCATCTACTTCCAGGTTGTCTTAGTGATCTCGGGATGGGTTACATAGGCGAGTTTGGCCGAAACTTGAGGCGGGTGAAACTTGTGTCTGTTGGTGATTCAGACGTGGGTTTTGATAGACAAATCTCTTCTCTCAACCTTGTTATACCCACAAGCCCATAAGTACCTCAATGAAGACAGATTCGTCACAGCTGTTGCTAGTCCCTTCTCACTAAACGGACAGTTTACCAACTCAAGTTTCTGCAGTTGTTAGCTAAAGGGTGTAAACAACTGCAGAAACTTGAGATGGTAAACTGTCCGTTTAATGAGAAGGGACTAGCAACAGCTGTGACGAATCTGTCTTCGTTGAAGTACTTATGGGCTTGTGGGTATAACAAGGTTGAGAGAAGAGATTTGTCTATCATGAGTCATCCACGTTGGAAGATCGAGCTAAGTTCATCTGCAGTTGAGGAAAATTGCCACCTCGTTGCCTACCCCTGCCTAGGTTATGAACTCAGTGACTACCCAGAGATCATCGTACGCTACAACTGATGACTTTTTCAGCATAGATAACAACTTCAAATCCATGGTAAAAATGTCCAAATTTTAGCTTTGCTTATTCTTTTCGCAGATATTGTAATAACCATAGATGCTACAAAGATTTTCAAGGAGATTCTTTTAACTTCAAGTATATGGTTTGGAAAGATTCCTTACCCTTATATGTCAACTCTATATATATCGTCGAATGACAGTAAAGATAGCTTAATCCTCTATATAATGAAAATTTGACTGATGGAAGTGTTATTATGTTATGTGTTTTTTATTAACCTTATATATAAGGTTCACTTCTGTGTAGTGGTGAGTTATTTTGTTTGATATCAGTAATTGAATTATATTGCAAATTTGAATGAGACTTTTAGTTAGTGAGGCAAATGTGAGTTTGGCTTTGTCGAATGCACACCAGGTAAGGTGATGAGCGGTTTGGTCTTAGTGCTCGGTTTCCTCTTTTACTTGATTTTGTCTTCGCTAGCTACCATTGATATTTTGGTTTTAGTATTGACCCTTTGTTGTGGAAGATGATAGTGTGCCTAGATTCTTCTGTTGAACCCCAACGAGAACCCATTTTGGTTGTTCATATCTTAATTGACTTTGAATGCATACACAAACTCCTACCCGCTGCTTTTTTTTTACAATCTGATTGTGCTTAATTAGCTTTGTTGCAGACAATTTCTGTTTTGTCACATATAGCTCAGCCATGACTTGTGCAATGCAACCCTTCTCTGGTTTGGTTCATACTGCTTCGGATGTGCTTCTAGTTACTGATCATTTGTTCCATGCATGGTCCTTTAACTAAGAAAATGGCACTTTGCAACTCGTCAATTTGATTATGGTCTCAAACTGCTTCTTTACAGTTGCTTCTTTACTCGTCAATTTGATTATGCACAGGTACGACATACGAGGCTCTCCTTGATTCTTGGGGTTGAGAGATTTTACGGGCATCTACTAATTGCTATATATAGAAACATGTGTCTGCTTACCTATGGATGATTTTTTTTATTCACATGTGTGTTTGGTTGTACAAGTTCTTCGATAGAAACTCTTCAATTAAAAAGTTAATTCTAGATGATGAACAGGAGAAGCATCCCTTGGATTCTGTGGCGGATATGGAAAAGGAATTCCTTATTCTTTGAAGGGAACAAGTTCTGGCCAACAGACACAATAAGGGAAGAATCATCCATCTGGTTTATGGCACAATCCATAGACAGCAATCTTTCACAGAGATTTGCAGGGGTCTATTCTTCGACCTAGAGCTTGGCCTTCTTTTACCTTTTAGGGCTCAGCTTTGTTGAGGCTGGAGAGTGTGCATTGAAGAATCAACAATGAATAGAGGAGCTCATCTCATCGCTCATAGTGATGATCGTAGACACTCTTATGTCTCTTCGATGCAAGAGTTTTTTTTGTTTTTATGGTAAGAGTTTTATCCTCGAGTTGATGTAGTTTCTCCTTTTTTTGGATTGGAATGTTTGGGCTACGTTTGACAGTGTAGGTTTTTTGGCGGGGCTTCGTTTAAATTTCTTGGCTATGGTATATGATAGGTTTTGTTCAAGAAAACCTGAAATCTTTGTAATGCTCGGTTAGACTTATATTATATATAAATACAGTTCAGATGGAAGAAAAAAAGAGACCATGAACAGAAGTTTGTGTGGCCCTTTTGTCCGGTCTCTTTTTCTTGGAAACAACTTGTGTGCATTATTCCTATGGATGTGAGCCTCATCACCTTGTCCAAGTGTAAAATTCTTTCCTCATGTAGAGGATGTATCTCAAAAACTCTTGACATTGAAGGGGGTATATAACGAATGAGAATCTGTTGTAGGCTAATATCCAGCAATCTCCACATCATGTTGGCTAATATGATACATTTGAAATTCCCGTAATGATAGACAAACAATGAACATAACTTTTTATCACTTATCAAAGCAATCATTTCTAACTTTTCGGTATCAATCACAAATTCACTTCTTCTTCTGCTCATTCGGAAAAAATGGATTTTTGTATAAAAAAGACTAACCCAATTGGAATGACCTCATAATAAATGTACAGTAACTAACCAGAGATCATCAAGGCATAACTTTCAGGACATGGAGTAGTACTCCTCCTCCCCATGAGGACATCAGGTGGCCTACATTAACATGAGCTAAAGAATCCGTACTAATGCGAAAACCTTTTAAAGGAAAAGAGACCCTTACCTACCGGATTTTGGTTTTCCATGACATCCTTACTTTTTAGAAAGGAAAGACTCGATCACAAGAATGACAATGAAGAATCAGATTGGGAATGTATCCAATGGCAAAACACTACTTTACGAAATGAAAGTTTCATGTTCACAAACATAACTGTTTAACATTAACTATATTTAAATCTCATTCACTCTGGTTGCTTGTTGCTCTCCTTTTTGCTTCTTCTCCTTTTATCCTTTCTCCAACTGGTAAATAGAACATTTCATGTTATGCATACTAGGAACATATATGGAAAAAAGTTTCTTCTTTCTAATTGCAATTCGTCTAAAGCAAGCATGAATCTTTGAATTCAAAACGATTGATCATACCTTAGATACAAGTCCATCAAAGGGAGACAGCTAGACAACGCACGAGCTTACATGATGTGGTGGTATGCACAACATCAACCCACTCAACGTTTCCCCAAACCTCACCTCCATCACGCTTTTCCAGTACGATTTCTGCTAACCAAATCGTCTTTCCTAGTATCGGGATTATGCTTCTTCATCCACGCTTCCCAAATAAGTAAGAGTTTCCCACTAAAGCTAACTAATTTAGTATTAGTTGCGCCACCATTCCTCCTGTGTAGTGAGTCTAACCCTTTAACCTCTTTCCAATTTCCATCCTTTACGTCATACCACCAGCACTGGAAGCGACCATAGTTACTAATACGACCATATGAGTAGGATACATTCTCCATCACACATCCTGACCTCTCAAAAGTTGCAGCAACACAGCATTCCCAGTTACCTTGCTTTGTGTCGTAAGCATACATATTGTATACAGTCCCAAAGTAAATCTTTCCTTGGATCGCTGCGATTCTACAAATGTCGGTACACTTAGTATCCGGACCGGGGAGGCGTTCCCAAGTCTGAGTCTTTGTGTCGAATACCTCAGCCCAAGGCTCGTCATCTTCTAACTCTTCACACCCTCCCATTACATAGATTTTCCCATCGTAGAAACATGAGGCGGCATACTCACGGGCTACGTTCATGCTAGGTGCATCGCGCCATGTGTGACTGCGACAATCGAGGATCCTCACGGTGGAGGACGGTGCTTTGTCCACTGGTCCGCCGATCACATAAATTTCAGAGCCAACCGCTACGACGGAAATCGATGCAGGAGTATAATTAAAAGACGGAACCGGAACCAACGAATGTCCAATTGTGGAGTCGGGTTTGGGGTTAATCCAAAGTCTAAGCCATTGGGAAAATTGATTATCATAATCCCACAGGCAGACATAGAGACACTGTTCGGTGATTCCGAGGTGAGATCGAGCTTCGTAAAGCTCTCTGGAAGAGAGAAGCGAGCAGAAGCTTTTGGAAACCATCGAGAGTGTCGGATAGTACGACCTCGAGATCCGGGCTAAGCAATCCACGGCGATTTCTTCGGGAAGTACAGAAAACGACGGAACCTAATTTAAATAGGATTAAAAAATTTAAATATATTTTAAATAAGATTTTAATTGAAAATCAAATAATATAAAAAAAAATAAAATACGAAATAATATAGATAAATATTTGATAGTCTTCTCTATAAGTAATTTTGATTGAGATTTTCAATTTTATTTTATCATTTCATAAAATTTTTTAATTTAAATACGAATAAAAAAACTAATAATTTAAAATATGTG